AAAAAAAAAATCTCAAATTGTTGAGAAAAGAAGAAACCTGCTGCACAAGTGGCACTAGTTTGCCTTCTTTGGCAAGAATTTTCAGTAGCTCCACAATAAACGGTATGTAGTTATGACATCGACGAATATTTTCAGCTTTAAATATCTTCTCTTTTTCTTCTTCGGCAGCAATCAGTGCTTGCAAATGATTCATTTCCTCTTCTCGGCTCTCGGTTTCCATTGTTGACTGAAATTGCAAACCAGAAACATATGATCCACGAATACTGCTAATTTCTGACCCACTTCTTCCTCCTTGGAAAGCTCACTGCTAAGATGTTTTTAATCCTCGTCCACATAGGATGATGCAGCTCTACACACACGCGCAGTATGAATGGAATCTTAAGAAAACACATTATTTAGATCCACGCAAGCTTTGCTGAGGAAAGAAATAGGGAAAAGGTTGAAATAAGAAACAGCAACGATCAACTGAAACTTCTCTCCTACTGGCAAAACTGAGCTCGGTATATTTATTGAAGAAGCACTTGAAAGCAAGTATCGGTCGGTGTTTGTTTACCAATTAAACCGAGTCAAATACAGACCGCTCGGAACATGGCTGACTGCTATGCTTTAGCCCCTGTATTACCGCACGAGAAATCAACATGCAATTGGCCCCCAAAACTATGTAGTGACAGCTGCCTGTTCACGACTGTTTATCGCCCCGTACAGTGACAATGAACGAACCGTATCGACAGCTCGGATGGACTTCGACAAGTAAAATAACTGGCCAGCGCAACGAATGCCGGTGCAAAGATGCGCTTTTGCATAGTTCGCCGCAGATTTTTATTGCTAACGGCGCCGGCTTTTTCCGTAGATGCTTTTAGCTAAGCGAACTGTGACTAGGCACCAGAAGTGTCAGGAAGCACTCTCTCAAAATTTTAGCTTTCTAGCTCTTCGGGTTCTCGAGTTAGCAACTTACCTGTCGAAAACTTTGGCGAGCCTGTACGTTGGTACCACATGGGTAAGAGCCCGCTTCAGGGAATGAGGTCTGTACGTTCATGTAGATTAAGTTTCCAAAGTTTCAGCTCTGTAGCTTTTCTAGGTTTCGAGATGAAAAATCGGTACGGTCGGACGTACACACACACATATACGCACACACACAAACATACACAGACAAATAACCTCTCGACAATATGCGTTTTTGCATTGCACAGATGCAAAAAACAGATAAAAAAGCATGGATCTGACATAAGCTAAGAAGACAATTCGATGACTATTTTGAAATCTGAGTTAATCCTTGCGAAACGAAAACTGTATTTTGTTCTTATAACCAAACAGCTTGTTTCAATCATACGAACAATCTATGCAAACACTGATACAAATGTTAAATAAAACT